GGGAAAGAGCCATAGTCACCTGCCTCAAAGAAGGATGTAAAGAATGAGCTACTTCTGCAGCATGTGCAAAGGCTGGGGAAGTGCTAAGGGTTAGTAACAGCTGCGCTGTGCACAGATACAGCTAATGGATTGATACCTGCTGGACACGGGGAGGTGTGTGGTGTGATGTGTATGCCCAGCACTGGCCAACTGCGCTCACCCCAAAGCCTGCCTCTGCAACCCCCCCGGATACCTGCTCCAGTTGAGAAATGACTTCCCAGAGTAGTGAGTGCAAAGTGGACAGTTCCCGGCCCAGGTCAATGTAGCCTTCAAAGCCAGCTGTGTTTGAGATGGTTTCGGGATTGGAAATCTCCAGTAGAAATCTCTGCATGTTAGTCCATTCGTGTTCCAGGAACTGATTCATAAAGGACATGTATTCCTCTTTGCTGCCAAACCTATCAAGACAGCAATACAAATTTCAGCTAAATCCTGTAAACAGAAGTGCAGTCAACAGAACAGGTAGGTACCTACGCAGGTAAGAATGCCAGAGCCTTCCTCTGGCGTTTGAACCCTTTGGGATCATCAGGTTGCTAGCAGGCACCTGGTACCTCACCGAACATGGAACCAAAATTAACTCCAGCCTAATCCAGCCAAGTCCTCGTCAGCGTGGGATCTCTGCAGTAGAAATGAAGGTGAAAGCTAGAGAAACAAAGCTGTTCTTGGCAATGGAGTGTATCTTACTGCTGGGTCAGGGCACAGCCTCCAGAAATAGGACCTGTCACTGGAAACAAAGAAATCGTAATACCAAGCACCATCAACTGACTGAAGCCCAATGAATGATGGTGGTAGGAATCCTGCACTCTCCCCACTCTTCCACGGGCACTGAAGCTAACTCCAGCCATGCTGGCTGCTGCTGCCCCAGCACAACTGCTCTGGGGATCACCCTGGAGAGCCACAAATGCAGCTGGGCCAGCCCGTTTGTCCCCACGGGCTTCCTGCAACCTCCTTTTGCCCTCCAAGCACTCCACCCAGACTTCGCTCTCAGTTAGATGTCTTATTTAGCGCACAACGGGGAGGCCCTCATGGTTCAACTGTACCAGCAGCGGTTGGTGCTGTGCCAGTGCCAGTGAGTCTGTGAGCAGAGGCTCGGCGGCGTGCCATCTGCAGGACAGCTCTGCTTGATCACTTTGGCTTGACGAATGTCAGCTTAGTTAAAGAGTCTTTCCTGCAAAGTGCTGAATATCTGAAAACCCTTTAGTTAGGGATTGGTCAGGAATATAGAGAATTTCTGTCATCTAGTGTAACACACTTGTATGTCTTCCGTCTCCGTCTGTGTGCGTGTACGTGCATTCCTGACTGCGAGCGTGTGTACTAAGCTAGTTTCCAAATCTAAGAAGCTTTAGACAGAAACTGTCCATTCATGTTTCAGAAAGCTCATCGTTTTGTTATCAGAGTTCAGGATAAGTAGCTCAGAGCTGCAGCCAGTGGAAAGATTTTCAGGAATCTCCTGCTTTGTTTCCATCAAACCAATGGGCTTAGTTAGAAATTGATAGTGTCCCCATTCTCTTTTCATACCTTCCCAGTTCAGACAACTGCATTTTAATAGCAAGGAAGGTCCCAGAGCTCACAGGAGGGAAAGACCAGCTCCTGAGCTATGCACACCATTGCTGCTGTTTGGGTTCTGGTCCTGCTGGTGCCTGTGATGGGAGGTGGGCAGTGCACCGCCGCCAGCCATGCCCCGCACAGCCATCACAGGACAAGGTGCCTGGCTGTGCCGGGGCGTTCCTGCTGCCACCCTGCCTGCTCGTCTGTGTGGTCAAAACAGCCTGTTTTCCTGCTCATAAAACATGTCCTGTTTTGGAAACTTAAATGATCTCCCTGACCTAACAGTGAGGGCACGGGTCCCAGAGAGACATGGGGGAAAAAGCCAACAGGAAACAAACAGGCCCTTTCCACCGAGGAAAGGAGCAGCCAGTGTGGGTCTCCTGACGCCGGAGCCGTGGCTCTGCCTACACACCCGGAGCTTCCTTCCCCCTCTCCAGACCTGCCCCCTCCCGCTCCTGCACCCCGGCTTACTTGGCAAAGTTGGCGAGGTTCTGGGTGACCTTGGCAATGAGGGTCAAAGTGCGCGCAGTGCGGTCATCTGGGTACTCCTGCAGGAGACTGAAGAGGGACGGGGACATGATGGCCGGACAGAGGAACCGGAGGAATAGGGAGGCACTGATCAGTCGCTCACTGATGTCTGGGCGGCCTCGGTTGCTGCATTCTTGTCTCCATGAGGCAAAAACTTCTTTGAGCTCCCTCGGGAAGACACTGAAATGACAGAAGGACATGCAGGGATGGCAAGTTCAAGGCCAGGGTGTTCAAACTGCCACACAGCAGTAACTAAACATGGTGCGTATCAGCCATGGGGTGCGACCCCCAGACCTGTACAACAGTAGAGCCCTCTCACCCTGTTGATCCATAGCAGCACTGCTGTCTACACCAGTCGCAGGCTCTTGTCCTTTTTTTATTGCAGAGTGTCTATTAAGAGACTCAAACCGCACAGGAAAAAGCAAAGCCTCTCCGTAAAGTTGTAAGAGAAGCAGCTTTCATCACACTAATGTTCCTGGTTATGCTGGGTGCCAAAACCCCCGACAACCAGGAAGACAGAGATACGAAACAAAGTGTGCAAAGCAGCTCATCACAACTCAGTTGGCTGTGTCATGGGGCACTACGAGCTGGGGGGAAGCTCAGCCACCAAGGTGGAGTGCGTCTCCTGAAGAAACACAGCATTGTGGGACCCCCTCAGCAGAAACACCAGCAGTACCGGTGTCACCGGCACAGCCGGTGCTTGGAGGGAGGGCTGTGCAAATTGTAATACTCCTGTTCAAGCACCTGGATCAAATCCCACTGTGACTAGTACAAACGCAGAGCCCCACCGGAGTTACTCCAGCCTTGTAACTGCACAGACGTCAGCCTGGCTTTCCTGGATACCAGAATTTCCTCGGGTCCAGCAGGCGCTCGCTGCAGCAGCCCTTATCGCTGGAGAACTTGCTGCCTGTTTCTGCTCAGCCCACCCCAGCTCCCTGCTCCCACCTTATCCTGTTCCCAGCATGTGTTATTTATTCAGCTGGATACTCCCACCCGCGGAGGCAGGCTGGCAATGGGTCCCACTGCACTGCCGTTGGGCCCCTGGGCCCCTGGTACACAGCTCCCCACCCGCCCCGGAGGCTGCCCTGGCCAGCAACCATCTTTGTTTCAAAACCAGAGCTGTTTACTGACAGGGCTGGATGGTACAAAAGCAGACTGAAGAGGGGTCAGACTCCATTTTAGGACATAAATTTCCTTAACAAACAGCCATTTCAGAGGATGGCTTCCCAGTTTTGCTGCAGGGACTATCTGGGAGAAGCAAAGCAACGTCAGCTGGCTTCTCACTGGCCTGCCCCCTCTCTGGGACTGGCTGCCCTGCGGTGGAACCTCACACGAGTCAGGAAGAAGAGAAAACCATGGGAGTTGCATGGCCAGAGACCCTGTCCGCTGGCCACCAGCAGCAAGAACCAGGTGGGAGGCTCCGAAACTGAGGAGCACTCAGAGCGAAGAACCCAGCCGTGCACGCTGCCCCTGCGGCAGCACCGCCAGGCCTCCGGGTGAACACAGGGTTGCTCCTCCTGCTGCCAGCACTCCCCGTCCTCCGGCCTCTTGCTTCCCAGGGCTACGGACACTCACTTCATCAAGACCAACTGACTGCTCCTCACCACAGCTGCAGACTTCAGGACCTGTGGGGTTTGTGGTCCGTCAAGAGTGGCACGTACCCTGCAGCCAAATGGCTGTGGCCTCTAGCTCCGTGGCCATTCTCTGAGCCAGCAGCGCGCACGCTTAGCAGGCAGAGCCCTCACCTCTCATTTCATTAATCTGCCAGCTGCAGACCACACTGCCCGGCCGCACGCCCCAGGTCTGGGGCTGCTGCTGTTAATCCCAGTCAGTGGGCACCCCGCCACGCGCCTCCCACCCCAGGCAGCCCGCTCAGCACGGCACTGCTGCATACAGCGGCCCACGTAGCTGCGCTCCAGGTTTCCAGGAGGTTTCTCTCTGTCCTTCTGAGATGGGCGGTGACACTCCATGGAAATGCTCAGGAAATGCTGCCATCATGTTCAACTCCTGCTCTGTGTTGGCTTCGTGCTTTCACACACACGAGCTTTTACCCTGTGCTTTATAAATAACATTAGCCAACGTCTTTGGCTGGATAAATTCTCCTCTGTCTTTGGCTTGATCCACACAATTGGACAAAGCCCTTTTACTTCATGGTATTTGCCCAGAAACAGGAGAATCCTTTAAGCAATTTAAGGCTTGAATGATCAGGACAGGTTGTACAGTTTCTGGAAAGTAAACCCTTGAAAATGTATGCACCGGCTGCATACAGCCCGTGAGTACTGTTCACTATCACAGGCTGGGAGACCATAAAAGTTTAATTGTGTAACAGCGGATGGAATTCAGTTAGCCGGCTTTATGTGACAAACGGGCCCGTAATTCATTACCCAACTTTCCAGTAACGAGCTTCCACATGCTGAATTTCTGCTTACACTGAAACTTTCCAGATGTCCAAATTATGTCATAATTATAACAATTTTCAGTTATTGTAAACCTCTTTCCTCTCTCTGATTCTCTCCGGCAGATAAGCATGCACACTCTGGCACTCTATTTAAAGCAAGACCGTTAGCTGTCAGGATACCTTGGCCAATCCCGAACACTCATCAGCCCAATTAATTCCCAAGAACTGCTGAGCACAAAGGACCGAGGGGGAACCACTCAGAGCAGCAGCTCAGCTGCTCCAGCCTTCCTCGGAAAGGCAGGACTGGGGGAACAAACTTCCCGTGCATTCCTGACCTTCCTTAGGTCACTTTTCCAGCCTATTTTTAGAGCAACCTTTTAGTGCTGCTTTGGGAATTTTTAGGAAGACATTAATTCAAACAATTATAATCCACTGGTGACTAAAAGCAGTGAAACCCTCCTGGGAGAGCAGGTAAACGCCATTCCTGAGTCAGAGTTATTAACTGGCCCAGGATAAGGTATAGGATACCTGTGAAGAAATCTGCCCTTTGCTTATTTGTGGTAGATAAAGGAAGTCTGAGTGAGCCTCTCGCTGCTTGTTCTCTCCCTCAGCAATATCAAGAAAAGCAATTCCCCTCCTGGGCTTGCAGGAGGGCACACTCAGTATCCTGGGAGATTACCTATAATGAGTTTTCAGGCCTCAACACAACAGCTGGGATAGGAGAAAAAATGAGAATTTTTTATTATCAAATACTTCCTTCCTCCAATATTACCCTTAGTTGATGTTTTGCAACAACAGTGCTGCTACTAAATACATTAATAAAAACTAGGTCCAGACTTCTAAGCAAAAAGACTGCAAATCCAGCAGTAAGACAAAAATGATCATTCTCTCATATGATCAGGACAAGAGTCTCTGGGTATGTTAGCAAGAAGCAGGAAGAAAATATTTTTATTTCTCCAAGTAAAGAGGGTCACAAGTCCATTTTTTCCCCTTTCAGGTCATCTTTGCAGGCAGCAGCTGTAACAGACCCAAGGACTCCTGGCTCCCAGTCCCCAGGGCTGAGCAGCAGGTAACACCATGCACACAGCCATGCCTGACAGCCACCTCCATGACAAGATACGACTACCTTACTCCAATCAACTTTCCATATTCGGGCCTGTTCCAACTAGTTGCAAGAACCTTTACCCCGAGAACAAACAACTAGGAAATGCCGCAAACTGCATACCAGGCCTTGGGCCAAGGAGGCAATGGGCTCCCTGTCTCTGCCTCAGCAAGCACCCCGGGGCTCGGAGAAAGAGGGGTTAACCCAGAGGAATGCAGGATGCTGAGCCAAACAGCAACCCGGGAGTAACAGCAGCATCCTCCCAGGCTCCAGCACTCTGCAACAAGAGAACATCTGCCTAAACAAAAGCTCCCTGTGCTGGTGCAGCTTCCTTGCAGGCAGGAGGAGTGCCACAGACCCTGCCTGCTGCAGAGAGGATTTCAAAACTTCACCTGGTGCTCTGGGGAGGCAGGCAGAGTCCATCAGTTTGATCCAGACTGAATGGTTACATGGGTAGGAGACCCAGGACGTGGATTTCTGCCCTTTATTCCAGACTTCCATATACAGTTGGCATCAAGTCCCTCTGTGAACTGGTCACACTGGCAAAGGCATTTTGTATTCCTTGACTCCACTGCCCCATCCCTGTGTCTGTGCGCCAGTAACCCTTCAGCACCCACTGAAAACAAGCGTGACGGGGAATCAGTGAGTCTGTCGCACCCCCAGAGCAGATACTCCAAACTCTGGCTGAGCGGGAGCTGCTGCCTCACCCCCTGGCCATCCCCACCCTTGCTCCTGGACCACCAGGACCCCCTGATGCACTGCGGGACGCAGGCAGGGCCCCGCAGCTCTCCCTCCGAAGCTCTCTGACAAGCTGCCCATCAGCGCAGCTAAGGGACAAGTACCAACAGCCTGAAGATGGACTGCTGCCACCCTTGTCCCCTGCAGCTGTACCGCCTCTGCGCTAGCTGAGGGCATGCGGAGGGGAGCGACACTCGCGGGATACTGACCAGTACGAGTTGATGATTTTGCAGAAGGCCAGCTCGCAGCACATTTTCAGGTTGCTCTGATGTTCAGGAAGGTCCGAAGACGAACACTTACTGGGATCCACCTCACAATTTTCATCTGATTCATACAGAGCCTTGATAAATTCCCCTGTAAAACAGACAGTCGGTGATGGGTTTTGGAGACATGAGACACGCAGTCTTCAAGCGAGACTGTTCGTAAGCCCCAGTGCTGGAGCAGTTACCCTACACCCCATCACACTGGCTGAACAGAAGCCGGGTACGAGAGCAGGCGGTGGTGGCTCCCGGGGCAGACTGTGCCCCAGACCAGCTCTCAAGATCTCCGAGTGGACCCAGGAGCAGCCAGCACTGCCTTGGGAGCTCACAAAACAATACAGCACACCCTGCAGAAAGGCACCCAGACTCCCAGCGAGCATGTTTCATCCCTCTTCCCCAGTTGGCAGCTCTGCCTCTGTGGCTATGGGCTATTGCATCAGAACCCTGCTGCCAAAACACCCGCTTCCTCAGCCTGCCCTGACCCCCCATTACACCAGTTCCAGAGACGCTCCCTTGGGCTAATCCAGTAGGAAGTACACTGGCAAGTTCTGTAATTATTTGTAGGATGTCCTGCTACTGCAGACTGTGCCCTGGTGCTGACAAGCCAGCATGATTCACAGGAGAAATAGGTAATTAAAGGAAAGAAACAATTTACTTGGTTTATTTTGAGCTGAACATCACACAAAATTAAATTAAAATATTTCTCTCAGTTTCCCTGCACTCCTGTTTGCTGCCTGGCTGCTCCTCACCCTTGCAGAGACTCACACTGTGGGCCTGCTCTGCCAGCTCCTCGCCTTCGTGCCACCTTTCACCCTGGGGTACCCGGGCACAGACCCCTGCTGCCCGGGCTGAGGGTGCTTCCCACCGCCTCGGCACGTGTCCAGCTGGGGGGGATTGCAGTCGTCCATCCCAGTTAGCACACAGCAGTGGCTGGGGAGACCGGGGGATAGGATAATGGGGATTAAGAGAGAGTGTTTAGCTAGGGACCTGCAGGGCCGGGTGATGTTCTGGGAGATAGATTTGCTTTGGTTTTCTTCTAATTCCAGTTAGTTTGCTCATCTCCTAATTCCTGACTGTCTTGGATTTTCCCAGCCTCCTGTTTTTTGCCCACTCTAGTCTGCATTCCTCCCCTCTTGCCAAAACAGATTTTAATTACGTACTGGAGAGCCTCTCCAATGTATTTTCAGCTCTGCCAGGGAGCTCTGGAGCCTCTCTGCTCGCCTGCAGGTGATGCCTGCTGTTACTATCCGGCCCTATTACTTGCTTGTGCTTCATGGTTTAAAGGAAAGCGCTATGCTGTATTGTGTTCCCTTGTGACACACAGATGAATCATTTCACTGATAAAAGGTCTACACAGAATCAGGGCCCCAAACAGCAAGCAAGAACCGCAGGCTCCTCCTGTACTAGATGGAGCTGGCTTGGCAGCATTTGCATTGAGCCCTGAAAGGGGAATATTTCAAAATTCTCTGCCTTCACTAATCTCCTGGCTTTTTAGAAATTTTATGAGGTAATCTACTTACAGACTTGCCTTCAATCAGAAAGCATTACAAGGCAGAAATAAATAATATTCCTTTTCCTATTCTTGTGGGCTATCTCTTGGTTTGACTGAATTTGCTCAGTGATCTCCCCTTCCTCAATGTTGTCATTATTATTATTATTATCTTAATAAAGTATTTACAGTACTTTGCTCCTTACTAACATTACACAAATCCATTAGTAGGAACCCAACATACTGAAAAATTAACAGCTCAGTAGAAACTCTGCTCATCCTACTGCTAGGATGTGGATCCAATCTAGCTGCCTTTGGCTGAGGTTCAGACACAATGCTTCAAAGGCAGCCTCTCCCCATCCTCGCGCTGTGCTGGCTGCACTCAGCAACACAGCAATTCCTTCCTGACCTGCCCAGAAGCAGAAGCTCTAATTATTTTCATTTGCATCAAGAGAAATATTTTTGGAGCCATAAACATAGCCAGCACTTAAAAAACAAAAACACCAGGAGGGTTCCCAGTGTGATCTGGGAGGCAACTCTCATCACTGTAACTTGGGAGATTTCATCTGACTCACTAGTGCTGCAAGGAACCGGGGGAGCGTCTCCGGCGGGGGTGTGCAATCAGGGGAAGGATTCAATCAGCCTCCATGACACTGCCAGCGCCGAGACAGAAGATTTGGCAGGCAGCATAATGCCTTCAAACATCAATTTGTTATCTCCTCTGAAAGCAGATTAAAGCGCTAACTCAGCGGTGACCTTCACCTGGGAGCAGAGAGCTGCCCGCTGCGGCTGTGGCTGTGCCCCAGGCTCGGACCCCACTGCCAGAGAAACCCTCCAGCAGGTAAATGCTGGTGCCTCCTATGGACATCAGGGCTCAGCTGATGGCGTCAACCACGCAGAGCACCCTGCAGCTTAGAGGAGGACCTCTCTGGGTGAGACCTGCCAACGCTCTGTACGTACCTAAGGCATCTTGCAAGTATTTCTGCCCCACCAGCTTCAGGTATTCTTCAATTGCTTTGGTGGCCAATGTATTCTCCCTGAAAATGAGATGCTCATTCTCACCACAGCGATCAACTTCAGACATCATCAGGTCAGTCAAGAAATCCTGGAAAGCAAAGCCCACAGTGGGTCACCACGTACTGACATATGCTTTGTTCAGCAGAACAGGCAGCCTCCCCTTCTCCAGAGAGGTCTCACCTTCGTAAGACACAAGAGGGAGTGGAGATACTGCAGGTGATCCTGTGTGTGCATGCCGCATTACTACCAGCCCGACTTTTCTCCTGTTTCTCCAGCCTCATATCTCTAGAGAGTCACAACTTTTGCACCCCAAAAAACGACTCATTCCAGGCCTGCACCATATGCGCCCCTCCATCAGTGCTGGTTTTTCGTTGGGTCTCATATCAGCCTCACGTTTTATGGATAAAACATTTTCTCCACCGTTAAATTGGCTGCGTTTGGTGTTTAACTGCACTGGTTGCAAAACAGGGGCATACTGAGATGTCATGAGCTGTGCCCCACAGTTAACAGCTGAGAATCAATCCTGTAATATGCATCGAGATGCTCAAATGTCCTATTTCCTTAGTATTCAAGGAAATAAACAGCACTGCTACAGCACACATTTTGGGCACACTTTTGATCTGATGTGCACACAACCAAATAGCATGCAATTTTATAATCCTCTGTGCTGCAGAGCAATGGAAGGGGTGAGCAGGAGCAGACCTCATGCTGACAGCTGCCCTGTGCATCAGTCTGGGCTACTGAACTGCAAATTCTAACAGAAAAACAGCACTTCAGACCGAGCTTCAGCTTCAGTGTTAACTGATCAGAGAGGGTCACGTAGCTCCCCATGCATTCTGCTGAAAATCCGCTACGTGGTGTGATATTTAGTGTGCTGTAGCTAGCATGAATGCAGGAGAAATGCCATGCAGTTTTTAATGCTAATACATATTCAGCTTCTGTTCTCTGCATTGCTAATGGGAAAAGCAGCTCTGGGCCCCTGCCCAGCTCCTCGCTGCGCTGGGTGCTGAAAGGGTCGACCTCCTCCCACCCAGCACCACTCACCTGGACGACAAAGGGAAACAGGCTGCTGGCACCATGTAAATCACATGCATTAGACCTCTTACTGTTTCCCCATGCAGAAGACAGAGCAATGTTGACATACAATTCACCTCTACAATCAAGGGCACTTTTTTAAACTGCCTTCCTCTAAAACAAAATAATCTGCTCTGTTAATAACCTTTCACTAAGAAATTCTCCTTCATTTGTCATGACCGTACCAGATGTAACCTGTTCCTGGCAGGGGGAGCAGGAGCACCCCAGAGCTGCCGTGCAGGGACCCAGGTCCTGTTCTTGCCATCCCCACACGAAGCACAGCTCCCAGAGCCCCCCGAAGCGCTGTGGCCATGACCCAGCCTGCTCCAACCCCGTCTCGGCAGAGGGGACAGTCAGGTCCCATTCCCTGCCAGCTGCTGTCCGGGAGATTTGCAAGAGAGGCACTTAGCTCCATTTCATTTTTCATATGGATGCCTGTGCATTGAAAGTCTAATCGAGGTTCAACCAACAGCTCCACCTGAACCCAACAGACCCAAATCATTTAATCCACAGGCCCTTCATTACTCTGCTTCTGTCCCAGACAAAAGAAAATCCAGGCGGCAGGCAGGTACGTCTCCCATCTGAGAACAGGAGAGGAGGGCAGGAAGGCTGGCATCTCTGCAGCACCCAACGGCCCGATCCCTCCCGCCTTCCCACAAGACCATGTCTGGGACTGACATGCTGCCGTGACCTTCCCAGAAGAGCCTCCAAAAAAGCCAGAGGAGCTTTGGAAAAAAAAGTCATTTCCATTGTTTCTTTAGCCAGAAGATCTCCTTCCTCAGATCCTGCTATGTCTGCAATGCTCCGGCAGCTGCAGAGGCAAAAATCCCTCCTGGAAGCAAAGCACACGCCTCCCCCCACGATTTTCTCTCATTTTGCCCTTTTTATCAGCCAAGCTGGAATGAAACTTTAAACCCCTGCTCAAATCCTGTTAGCTGCTATCTGGGTAACTCTATCACCTTTATCTTCCTGGGTCTCTCCCGGGGTACGTTTCAATTCCAAGCCACAGCTCAGGCTGACACAAGGTGCTGATTCTTAATTAGCAGCCGCTGACCTTGGCTTTGCTTGATTCTCTTTCCTGTCACTTTCCCAAAATACTAATTAGCTCAGGAACACTGAGTTTTATAGCTTCTCTTAGCCAAGTGTTTGCTTTTCCCCCCCTCGTCAGCTGAGGACTGGCTGCCGCGGGATGCGGGGCCAAGCTGTGATGCACAACCCAACCGTGAGCCAGGGCTGCCGAGCGGTGGAAACCCAAGGGCCAAGTTTTAGCCAGCGACAATGTGAACTTTTATGATTTTGGCTGATCTACAGAATTCACCAGAATTTAAAATGAGGCAAAAATCCCAGTGTGGGACTCAACACAAAGCCAGAGAAGATCCCCCCCAAACCTCTGCTGCAGTTGTTATCCCCTACGGAGCAGCTGCAGCTTGACTGCTGAGAAAACGACCCCTTGTCTCCAAAGTGGAAAGGAAAGCTGCTGAAATCCCGAAGAGCTCCATTACGGCACAGCACCCAAAGCTGAGGTGTAACGTGGCAGAATCCAGCCTTGTTACTGACCAGGGGATGGAGGTGAGAGCCAGGATACCCAAAAGCATCCCCCCGGGCCAGGGCTTCTCACCGTCCCCAGCAGGTCCAGTCTCCCTGGGCTGCAGGAGGCATCTCACCAGGCTGGACAAACCAGTCCTGAGATACATCAGGGATCAAAATACCCACAGCCAGCGTCCTTGCGTGAGCGGAGCTCTGCTAGCCGAGGGAAAGGAGCCTCGTCCGTGGGTCAGTTCCCATGACATCCTGCAATTTCTGTCCCAGGGCCATCTTCCAGATCTTGCCTTCCCTCCACAGAAAAAAGCCACATCAGCTCTGGATCACACATCTGGTATCTCTGCCTTAAGTACGCCAGCAGCCAGCACTCGGAAGGCACAAATGGAATGCAAATACTTGTTGAATCCCTCTGGGGGCCTCACTCACCCACATACAAGGCTCTGAATACAATGCAATAACTAAAGCCAATAAAACTCCCTGTTTCTGAGCAGCAGAGATCAGCAGGGGGTTGTTTTTAGTTAGGGCCCCTGGCAATGGAAGAAAATAAGATGCTTTATTTCATTACAGTGGAGTCAAGAGGGGAAGGAAAAGGTCTACAGTAAAAATTAAGGGCTGTGGCAGCATTCTTCAGGCTTGCTCCTTTGTTTATTTTAAGGATATTTGCTTCAGACTGGACACAGCTGAACCTGTGCAACTTCAGTCACTGCACACATGCTGATAAAGAAGAGCAATTCATAAATAAATAAATTCAGAGCATGACAGCAGAAGGCTGCACTGGTTTCCAGTACTTTTCAAATAAACCAAGCATGAGCCCACAGCAGCATGTGCTATTCTAAGGCAGCTCCTCCATCCTCTAGAAACGCATGCAGGAGTTTTGCTGCTGGAGTGGCAGCCCGGTCCCCACAGCAGGCAGCAGCAGGCAGGCGGCAGGCAGAGTCCTCAGCACCACCTCAGGGCTCAAACACGCCACCACAAAGTACTTCCAGTGCTGCAGCTTCCCCTCCACATGGGACGCCCGCACTGCTCTGCAGCTCATTTCCCCACATCTTCAGCCACAGCATCCTCTGGATGGCCGCCCCGGGCTGTGTGTCACCCCCAGCACCCATCCTGCCTGCACGGGGCAGCCAGCAGCGCTGGCCTGAGCCTGGGTTTGCTCCATGCGCCTCGTTCTGTCCCTCAAATGTCTCCATCCTGCTTTACCTGTAGTGTAGCCTAAAAACATTTCCATTTCCCCTGGGTCTTCACCTGTTGAGCTTCAGATGCCACTTCCATTGCCCCACCTGGTGGAATTCATCCTCCTGTCTCAAACCACAACCAAACAGCATCTTCCTGTGGGTGCGGAAATGTGTCCTAACCCCTGCCTCGTCCTTCTCACATGCAGCAATTCAGGACACCTGACTAAATAAGTCATCTCGCAGCAGGACTGCTTCACGCTGCCACGGCGGATCCCCCAAACCTCTGCCTGGGGAAGCTGGAAGGAGAATACGGAAATAGGGGTGATGCCCTGGAAATGAGCGTGCTGCAGCCCTGCGCCGCTCCGCGTGAGGTCCCCGCAGGGGGACGTCTGGAGCTGCCCTGGGGGTGGCCTGAATTGGAAAAGCCTCATTGGAAAGTGAAGTCCACTGAGAGAAAAACCAACACCTGCTCAGGAAAACAATCCTTCATTGCCCATGTCAATAGGACCAAGGAAGCGGACTAATCGCATTGCTCAAACACAAAAAATGGGAAGAAAAAGCTTCTTGGCAGGGGACAAAGCCGGAGCAGAGAAGACAGCTAATTCAGTCGCATGTCCAATCAACAGCTGACAGCCCTGCCTGCCCAGAGCACCACGAGCCCTCGGCCCCGAGCACCCCGCCGGGCTGGGGGGGCGAGCACCCCGTAGTGCTTGAAACTTCCAGTGTTTGCACTTGCCAATGCCAAGAAAGCCCATCCAACCCTGGCAAGGGGTCTGTCTACATCAAGCATCCCGGTTCCGAAGGGGTTCAAGGTGCCAATCCCTGTGCCCGGGGGGGTGTCACTGGGCAATGCCTCCCTCCTCCAGCTCCTGAGCCCTGGAGGCAGAAAGATGGAGCCAGCCGGCGCCTGGCATGGCAGTGGTGAGAGCAGGAGCATTTCCTAGGCAAAGGGAGCCTTTCCCGAGACATAACCAACAAGCAACACAAGTTTGGCAGGACGTATCCTGTCAATACCCAGGAAGGATTTTGCACCTCACCATCCCGGGGAAGGTCCTCCAGCCCCAGCCTCTCAGGGACACGTCCACAGCTGGAGCACACAGGGTGTCACGGAGCTGATGAGACCCATGGCCCCACACATGTCGCTTGGGTCACGCACCCCTCTGGGCTGGAGCTGATTGTTCCCAATATCGTAACTGACTGATGGGCAGATTGACTTTGAAATAATAAGGTTCTCCACATCACAAGCCTGATTAATAGGATTGACTTAACCTTAAGAGGATTGAATTGATAAAGGTAA